CTGCCTTTGTGAATGTGTTGTGTGTGTGTTTCTGTGTGAGGTGCATGTCTGTGCAGTTAAATGTTGCAGTCGCCAATATCTTTCTCTAATACTCAGGACACTGACTGAAACCTCCTCATACATCTTCACATGAGTGAGGTGTGTTTAATGCTGCTTTCAACAGTATTCCAGACAGTGGGAGAAGAGAACAGGCTGAACTCCTGTACCTTAGACATTCAGCACGTTGATGACACCCATGTATGGTGAGTGAGTGAGTGAGTGAGTTTGGTTTTACGCCGCTTTTAACAATATTCCAGCAATATCACGGCGGGGGACACCAGAAATGGGCTTAACACCCATGTATGGTAGCGATATACCTAACATACATGTGAACCATAGTGAACCACGGTGAACCACACTGAACCACAGTGAACCAGGTCACATCAAGGACAAACGGACACATCTTTGTACAGCAAATTTTGACAACTCCACCATCTATGCTCCTTTAAAACGAAACGTAACGAAAACAGTTACCTCCATTTAGGACTGACTGACTGAGTTTGGTTTTACGCCGCTTTTAGCAATATTCCAGCAACATCACGGCAGGGGACACCAGAAATGGGCTTCACACATTGTACCCATGTGGGGATTCGAACCCGGGTCTTCGGCGTGACAAGCCAATGCTTTAACCATTAGGCTACCCCACCACCCCACCTCCATTTAGGAGTCATCAATACATACGATGAGAAGATGAATGAAGGTTGGTGGTTTGGCTTCTGTACGGAACATACCATTTTGATACTGATTTTAAGGGTAAAGTTAAAACCTCAGCTATGTAAGTGATTGGCTTTAACACGGTAATATATGATATATTACAGTTCATTTTCTTAAGTACACAGCCTACTCTTTAGTCCAGTAGATCAAGCACTGGTCCAGAAAGCGGTGGAGGTACTATTCCCTGGACATGTCACAAAGACGTAAAATATGGTACTTCACGTTAGCCCGTCTTGAGCTCAGGGATTTCAAGGACCGGCTTGGAGTCAGTATACCATTTCTGAGTGGGGTATATCCATGTTAAACCATGGCATGCTATCTATTGGTCCAGCTCTACAAAACCAGCAAAAGGCCAGACAATCAGCGATGCACGTGGCTATGTGATTTAAAGTGTCTCAAATGAAATGGTACTCCGGATTTCAGTTGATATCTCAGTTACAAGAGTGAGTGAGTGAGTTTGGTTTTAACTCCGCTTTTAGCAATATTCCAGCAATATCACTGCGTGGAACACCAGAAATGGGCTTAACACAGTATACCATTTCTGAGTGGGGTATATCCATGTTAAACCATGGCATGCTATCTATTGGTCCAGCACTACAAAACCAGCAAAAGGCCAGACAATCAGCGATGCACGTGGCTATGTGATTTAAAGTGTCTCAAATGAAATGGTACTCCGGATTTCAGTTGATATCTCAGTTACAAGAGTGAGTGAGTGAGTTTGGTTTTACGCCGCTTTTAGCAATATTCCAGCAATATCACGGCGTGGAACACCAGAAATGGGCTTAACAAATTGTACCCATGTGGGGAATCGAACCCGGGTCTTCGGGCGAGTGAGCACGTTTAACCACTAGGCTACCCCACCGCCCCTCAGTTACAAGAAGTCTTGAAACAGAAACTTAACACATCCATAGAAATACTTAAAAGTTTTATTATGAAAATCATATGCACATGACAATTGATATTTACAGGTATGTGCACACACATTGAGGACAAGAGTGTGAATATGCACTGCTCCATACTCAAATATCATAGCTAGATTAATATGCTCATCTTCCTAAATGCACCAAATATACACATGAATGACTGGCTGCTGAATACTGCTGAATCAGCAACTTTCCATGCAGTGGAGAGAAGTTGGATGTCGATGCTTTCAGTAAGACTACAGTGGGTACAAGGAATGATCTTCATGGGTTGTCCCTGTGTGTCAGCCAAGTAGCTCTCTGCCCAAAAGACTGAATCAGGTTTTACCAATGATTCCGCTTATATTTTCAAAATCACCAACTTTCATGAGATATATATATACATGCATACAAAGCTACTCATTCATGAATTTACATAAAATGACAGAATATAACCTAACACACTACACTGACTCAGTGCTTCCAACCGATACAAAGCTCCCTGACCCCTAACAGGTAACCATTTCAGAGCAACATGGCTCTCTTGGTTAAACTTAGGAAAACAGGCCTATATTGGTATAATTTACACTGGTTACGGGTTATTTCACCCATCTCTCTCAACATCAACCTGAAATTGTCAGATTCTAAACAATATTATGCAAAGGAAATCATCACCACCTTCAAATTAAATTTGCTTCAGATAAGACATCTTAGACCATTTTTTTCATATTAATGGTTTAATATATCTCCTATGTGGTGACATATCTTGTTTATTTTACAAATGATGAGATCAGCTCCACAGACCCACATACGAACACCTTAACTTCATTCAAAGTGAACAGTTAATATGAATGAGAATCTTCTCATCAAGGCATTCTTAAAAAGAGTTAAAAAAACATTGTTTGGTATTTCACAAAAATGATCAAAAGATGGGCTAAAACAAATTGGGTTGTTAGTAACAATGATATCTTTCATCAAAATCTTTTGAGCAAGAAGAAAATTATTTGAACTTTACCAATACGCAGGATCAGAAAATGGCAAAAGGGTCTAAAATCTAAGCAATAGCTAAAGCTCACTTAGATCTATTAAAGTCTGCAAAAAGGAAGTGTAAATTAAGAGAAAACTTTTAATGTCATTTCTAAACCTAAAGAAATAAACTAAAGACAGCTGTGTCTATGTTACAGAGTGGAAAAAATAACATGTCTTGATTTCGAAGATAAAGTTGGACATAATTCTATCAATCCCATCTTCCTGTGTAACAGAAGTGAGAAAACAAAGAGCAAAGGTCAAACAGTACAATGTAATAATGCCATAAATCACCATTGACAACATACAGCAATTGTACAGTGTGGAAGTCCACAATTAGATATGTCAGCCAACAATGTGCACAAAGATGTAACGATATGTTGAGGATGCGATACGATACGTATCCTGATAAAGTGGGTGTGATACGATATGAATCCGGATGTTGTACTTTTATTTCATAAGTTCACATTCTCTCCATTTTAACCAGTGTATCTCAACCCTGAATCATTTGTTTTCAGATTTCAGCAAAGATTTGAACTTGTAGGGGAAAAACACTTTTTTGTTGTTTTTTTCTTGGGGAAGAGAGAGAGAGAGGAAAGAGAAAGGAGAGGGAGGGAGGGGAGAGAGAGAGAGAGTTTATCATTCACACTTTTACATCAAAGAATCTTGTGCATTCTGATACAGGAGTGTAAATCGATGCATATCGTGAGCCTTGTATCATGATACAGTACTGTATTGCCGTATCGTTACACCACTAATGTGCACCAATGTCTGCCCCTCATTTATGGAAGGAACTTATAAGTAGTTTGACAATGATATTGACCAAACACGTATCTTCAGACAATTTAAAAGAATATTCACAACCAAGACATGCAAAGGGAGATCATTTGATAACTCCCTATGTAAGCCATCCTTAGAGCCATAAACATTGACACTGTAAACAAATCAAGATATGAGCAGCTCTTGTCAATAATCTTCATAACAAAACTACAGATACAGATATCAAGACTATTACCCATCTGTTAATTCGCAGAAATGAAGAGTGAGTGAGTGAGTGAGTATGGTCTTATGCCGCTTTTAGCAATATTCCAGCAATATCACAGCGGGGGACACCAGAAATGGGCTTCACACATTGTACCCATGTGGGGAATAGAACCCAGGTCTTCGGCATGACGAGCGAACGCTTTAACCACTAGGCTACCCCACTGCCCCCCCGAAATGAAGAAAGTTGTAAAGATCAACTTCATTTTCATTTACATTATTGTGTGACAATCAACCTTCTAATTTCAAAGCAATGATCTGTAACCAAATAAATAAATTATTTTCCTTCGTGTGTTTGATAGTTTCTACACAAAATTAAAATACAATTTCTTTCAAATAGTAACTCAATCTAGCAATGCACAATAGGTAACCCATGCTCAACAAGCATGACAAATCATGTGTGGATTATGAGTTTTATAAAGTAATAGTATTTTTAAAAATTGTGTTTAATATTGTATACACAATCAGTGGATTCTGAAAACAATCAATGGCAGTTTTCTATCAGATTCGCTGTAAATCAGTCTCCCTGCAAAAGTAAAAGAAAGTTAGTTCTGGGTGTATGACTTTGAGCCAAACACCTTGTTTCATGCCTTGGATTTTGATCTAAAAATTCAGGCTGCATCTGGCAAAATGGCAAGCGAGTTTGGCTCGACATTTCCTTGAAAATATTTTGTATAATGGCAGGTGATTGTAGTGTATGAGAAAAGTGGAGATGAACAACAGTTGCCACTTTGGTGAAACCAACAAGTCCATGGAATTGGCAACCCTGGAATAAAACTAGGGCCAACAGTGGGAACAGAACCACAATGATCTGCCATCCCTAAGGGAAGCAACTCTGAATTGCACAATGAAGACATGAATATGACAACGGGTCAGGTCAGCTGCCATCGCCACAAGGATTATGTCTGGCAGTCTGGATACATAATATGCATGATTTCTTATGCCTGAGTAATCCTGGTCTGTACTTATAGACTTTGCCACAGTCGCATTGAAAGGTCAGGTTGTCATGTACAGCCTCAGCGTGCGTCTTTCGCGCCTTTGCATCTCCAAACGATTTGCCACACTGGTCACATGTGTATGCTTTCCTCACAGATTTATCGCCCTGTTTGACAGACGGGAAAATGTGTAGGAGGGAATTGTCAGCCAGGTTGATAGAGAAGGGGAGCGCACCACACGGATCAGAACCCGACCGTTCCATGAAAGCCTGTCTATGAGGCCATGGCTGGGCAACACTGTCAGTTAAGTGCTGATGTGGGGTCAATGCAACTCCATAACCTGAAACACAGGAAGAAGAGTCTCTAGTTCCTTCAAAGGAGATTGCAATAGGTATCATGCTGGAGTTCAGGATGCAACAGGACAAACAATCTTACACAATGGACATGAGATACAGCTGTCACCGTCAACTCTCTTGAACAAAGGACATCTTATTTTTCAGAACTTATCGCACATCACAGTGCAGTACCTTCAGACCTTGATATATTGGACATCATTGTAAGGTTCCTTCAGGCCTCAATACATTGGACATTATAATGAGGTGCCTTCAAACTCCAAAACTTTGGACACCAAAGTGAGGTGCCTTCAGACTCCAATATATGTCACTTTACTCCCTCTTCTTATCATTCATTATAAATGTCACTGAAGAGCAAGTCATCTTTGCACACATCCAGAATAAACAGTACTCAGCATTTCATAACTTTAGATGTTGTACGGAAAATATCACCTAAGTCTTGAGTCTTTGACCTTGCATAAAATGTATGTGATCTCTTCATCTCTCGAATATATTCATCCAACAACACAGATGTCCTCAGTAACTCCCTCCAGGACATATACAACCAAGTACTGATCATCCATCCAAATACACATGGCATATATGCTTGCTGTCCTTGTTCTAAGAATTAAATACAGCTCTCCAGACGTGACATCAGAAGTAGCTTCAAAAACTAGCCCACGAAATTGTCCATTCAGTTTCAGAGCATTTACTGAAAACTAAAATATTTGTAATAATGTCAAGAAATATACTGAGGAATTCCAAAGGACTTGATGAACACAAAGAATTTCCAAAGTTTGTCCCCAAAAGAAGTAAGCGTCAATCCATCTAAACCCAAGACAACCAGATTGCTGCCATTTCCAAAGAAGCAATATCATCAAGAATATGTGATTATTCGCACTCTGAGAGGTGCTCAGTCATTATCCTCTCTCATCATCTTAGCACAAGCACATTTCTTCTTATGCATCCTCAGCCCTGTCATGTATTTATACTCCTTGCCACAGACACAAGAAAATGGTCGCTTATCATGCACTGCCCGTTTGTGGTTGGATTTGGATTTGGAATCGGCAAAAAATCTTGCCACATTCGTCACAAGTTGAATTTCGGATCGCCTTCACTTGACTCGACAAATCGCCATCCTTGCCAAGGAAAGAACCATCAAAGGCATTACGCAAAGCAAGGCCGTCCGGGACAACAGGAGATGATGAACTATCAAACGGATTAACACGCATAGCAAGGCCTTCACCAACAACAGGAGATGACGAATGTCCAAGAAATCCACCCGGCTTCCAGATTCTCTCTCTGAGCAGACCTACTGAATACTCTGTCGGGCTTATACTCTGTCCTCCAATATCTGAAAGTAACAAAAAGGTTTGGCTAGTTTCATCACAGAACCGTTCAACAAAGATACCCCGAAACAATGGCTATAGCAGTCTACTTCTGTACCTGTAAACTCAGTCGACATGTTTTCTTATGTCTCCTGAGGGCAAATGGGTACTTGTACGTCTTCCCACACACACAAGGCAGAGTCACATTGTTATGGATAGCATCTATATGGACCATCATTGTCTTTTTCTCAAGAAACACTCGCCCACAATCGGGACAAAACCATCGCTTCCTAAACAGTTCCCCTTTCATATTGGAAAGGCCCTGGGGTGAATTAACATAAGGGTCTCCTTGGGGCGTGACATTCATCCTTATGTTGTCAGCTACATAAACAGCAGATCCAATGGTTTGACTATCAAATCCTCCTTCACCAAGCTCTGTCTTTGGAGCATTTGCCACCACAGAGAAGCCTGAAAGCAACAAAAAGTCTAGTTTTCAAGAACATACTTTTGTGACACACTTATTACACAAAGTCATTTTCCTTGTTCTTCACATGCCACGGTTTATATACCTTCTGAAACGCTGGACTGCAAACAGTCGGTGTCATCATGTGCTCATAGTTCACCATTGGCACCAAGTAGTTTCTTCTTGCTTTACACATCACCAGTTTACACATTTATAATTGTCAGCAACTCAAATCCAGGTTATTAGTTCAGATGGCACACTCAGTCAATTATTCAAGCAATCATATTATTATAAAGTGCATAGCCACCACAAACTACTGCCATTTTAAGTCACGTCTGATGGTTAAGAACCCTAACAGTTCAGGACTTTCCCAACTGGTTTAGGAAGCTGAGGTGACAGTCATCCTTTGTTAAACTTCTCAAGCAAGTGAACAGTCAACAGTGACAACACTACTGTCCATTCTTCTCTACATCCATGGTAAGGCAGACACCCTTCTGTGCACTAGCTATACAACTGAGTCACCAAACTTACAACTGTAAAATTGGTCACCATCCTATCCAAACTCAACGAAAACCCTCATCCTAATTCATCATCAAACAGAGCTTGAAATGCTTGTACTCCTTCCCACAAACACATGCATATGTACGCTTATCATGTTCAGCCTCTTTATGGTTGTCGGGACGTCGAGTCCGGGAACACTAATTCATCATCGAACAGACTTTTTTGTGCAAGCGCAGACCTGTCCTATACTTGTACTCCTTCCCACAAACACATGAATATGTACGCTTATCATGCTCAGCCTCTTTATGGTTCTGTCGGGACGTCGAGTCCAGGAACACTTTGCCACAAACAGTACAAGGCCATGGGCCTTTCCTTTTGGTGTGACTTGAAGTCCTATGAGTTTTCCAACTCCCCTGTCCCTGATCTTGAGACTGGTACAATGGTTCTCCATACGAACCAGCATAATAATCCCACTGACCAGAACTCACAGCCCGACCTGCTGTCTGCGGCTCATTATCAACAGAACATCCAAAATCTGAAAACAACAAAAAGGACCTTAGAGTTTTGGACTGAAATTATTCAGGCAAATGTGCCACAGCAACAACGTCATCATTTCCCCAGTCGTTCAGAAGTTTCAACTATATATGCCAACAGTCAAAATAATATAGTCAACAATTTATTCATTTGAAAGGACTTTTCTCAGTTGTGTGATCACATCATGACTAAGCAGCCAAAATTAAACACTAAAAACTGAAGATACAGATAAACAATAGTGTGATCTACAACCAGTAATGTGCTTGACTAAACATTTCAGAAGCACACAGGAAGTGAGGTGCAATTGGCAGCATGACACTACTGTATGTACAACTAGCTACAGACAGTTGACAGTGAAGAGGAATTCTATTGAAAATCTAAAGATTTTTAAAATGGAATGAGATCCAAAATACTGGACATGGGAGTGATGTTAAAGGGATTAGATATTCACAAGAATTTACGGTTTCCTGGCAAAAACTGTTCCATTTGAATGATTTTCTTCTCTATCTATTCATACAGCTTTCATATACTCCTTTCTCAGTCACGATAAAACTAGGTTCTTCCAAATGTCTCCCATGGTAACATCACCTCATCAATGGAAGCAGATGGGTTGATCCAATGAGTTAAGCGAACACTTTAACCACTAGGCTACCAGACTGCCCTTGAAAAACAAGTATTCCTTCCAGATTTTCACCAGTCCCTGGACAAACAAAACTACCGGATCACTAAGCGTGAAAAGAGCATAGTCACCAAGATTTGTACAGGATCTCTCTGGCTGTCAAGTGATATTAGTCCTTCACAAAGAAATACGGTTCAACCTTGTCTACAATGATCTCATGTACCTACAGGAATTTCAAGCATAGCAATGGCTGTTAAAGGCTGAACATTCAAGGGCTGAGTCAATTCATTCAATGTGATCAACCAAATCTAAACCTAAATACCAACACCGTCCATAACTCTACAGATGTTTGGGGTTGTTTTTTTTCAAGACGGAAATCTTTACCTTGATTCATCCCTGACGACAGCTGTACAATAAATCATAAGACACAATGGTTAAAATTCTAATGCAAGGTCCATTCCCAAATTTTTGTTCTTGAATGTCATTTATTTCAGCATCAAAAAGATACGGAGTACAGGACTTCTGGTGTCTCTGTAAAGCATTACGGAAGGTGTAGACCTTCCCACAAACACATGCATACGTGAGTTTATCATGAATGGCTTCTTTATGTTGCTTTCGGGAGTGAGGATGAGTAAAAACCTTGCCACATTCTGTGCAAGGCCAAAGTGTCTTTCCTTCGCCAGACTTTAGCTTATTGGGTGCATCGCCAACATTAAACAACTGATCACATGCTCCGTCTATTGTCGTCTGTCCACAGACTCCGCCTACATGCATCCAGTTATGGCCATCAGTATCTCCTGAGTAATGACGACTCAAATCTGAAAGGAACAAAAATCAGTCTCTGAGATTTCTAAATCTCCAATTCAGATCCATACAAATTCCCAGCTCTTCCTTCCCCTCAGAGTTTCAGCTCTTGGACAGTTGGAACACACTGCAAGCTTTCTGATGCCTCTGTAAAGCACTGACATACTTATAGACCTTTCCACAAACACATGTGTAAGTCCGATTCTCGTGAGTAGCTTCAACATGTCTTTTCACAAAGCGAAGCTGAGAGAACGTTTTCCCACAGATTTCACAAGGAAAACTATACGTGTCCAAAACCAAGTCTTCCACCATACCCCCACTACGACAATACTGCAGGGACTGATCCACAGCCTCAAACTGGGACTGAAGTCTCGGCCAAGGTTGAGTCTGTCTTGAAGTAAGGTCATAGCCACCTTGAACAGAGCTACCCTTGAAGGTTTCACTCAAACCAACACAAGCAGCATAACCTGAAACCAATAAAAGTTGGATTCTAGTTGATGCTGAATAAATCCATGAACAACAGAATCGTCTAGCGCTACATTCTGGCAATCAAACGGAGTTGAAGATAAAGCAAGATTTCTGATGTTTCAGGAATGTGAAGCGATATTTGTAGATTTTGCCACAAAGGCAGGTATAGGTAACAAAGTCATGGTGAGCATCTTTGTGTCTTTTTCGGCCTCGAGCATCCGCAAATACTTTGTCACACTCATCACAAGGGAAGACAGGTTTTTGTGGGTCTACAGTCCTTGCTTGGTAATTTTCAAAACTTTCATATGCGGAAGGTACACTAGTTTCTAGATTATACGAAGACATTTGTCCAGAAGCCGCTCCATAACGACCAAACTTGCTTGAATCCTGATAAGAAGAGCCAGCCAAATAGCCTGAAAGCAATAAAACATCTAGTCTAATATGAATCAGCTTTTGAAACTCAATAATGACTTCTAGTCATGCAACAAGGTTAAAATGTGAGCATGGTCTGCGAAGGTTAAAAGTGCTTAAAAACTTACAAGTGTCAATCAAATTTTATACTAAGGAATGTCTAAATGTAATATCAGGGATGGCAACAGGAAACTCTATTTTCAGCTGAAAACTTAATAATGTGTCATCGAATGGGGGTTTAGAATTGATTAATTTGAAATAAAATCAGCGGAAATCTGCAGATCAGCGGAAAATTGCCATCCCTGAAATATATAAAGACAAAGAGGTGATTGACTATAATTCTCATTTCAAAAACACCATTTATGAATAATGCCGGTCAAAAGCTGACTAAAGACTTCGGAAATGAGAAAGTCAAAATGGCTGTACCATGCAAATTTCATTCATCACCATTCCTGCAGTACAACAAGCACCTTGGCACTGTCAACTCATTGAAAACTCCACTTATACCTTTTTAGGTTTACGCCACGAGACTAGAAATACGCCAGCCAAAGGAGTAAGACTACTGTCTTGTTGAGAATATGAGTGACTGTTTATTTCGCCATTGTCTGCAATCATGTCATGAAACTCCAAGCTTCTCATGGGAGGAGTTGGCCGAGCAAGTGCTTTAACAACTGGGCTTTGTTAAATGGTTTTTGATCCTTTGAGGATCATAAAACACTGTGTAAAATTAACTCATCAAATCATTACCTCACAAATGGAGATACCTTCTGGTCTGGACACAGTCGATCTGATGCTAAGAGAAATAAGCCTTCCATACATCATAAGGTTAAAATACATGTCATGTGGAAAATAGTTTCTCCTGGTGTAGGGAAACACTTCATCACAATCTCAACAAATACTGACAAGATGGGTAAGCAGTATTTGTCTCCTTCAAAAGAAACCCTAATTGGGCATGTCAGTGAAGATGAGAGTTATCTCCCCCTTGGGAACTTAAGTCAATCAATTCTATTATTGGAATACTTGTCTCAGCCCGACTGCAACATCTATCAAACTACCACAAAATCACGTCATTAGTTGAGTTCGATCCGTTTGAAACATCACAATCTGAAAATGTCTTGCCCACTGACGTCAGCCGCCTTGTAACAAAAGCAAGACTTCTGATGCTTGAGGAGAGTACAGCGGTACTTATAGACTTTCCCACACACACAAGGATAAGTGAGGTTGTCATGGTTTGCTTCTCTATGCCTTCTCCGCCATCTCGGGTCAGTAAACACCTTCCCACAAATCTCGCATGGAAAAATATCCCCCTTAGCTTTCCCCTTCTGCTTCTTGAAGCGTTTAGCTATCATAGGTGGCACTGACACCGTTTCTGTCCCCCTGCCAAACTCCCCTCCCATCTGATCAAAAGCCAGTCCACTATCTCCACCCTCAGGCTGGCCTGGACCAAAATAGCTGCCCGAGCCTGCAAACAAACAAAAAACAAACCTAGTGGTTGTACCAATTTAATAGTTTAGTTACTCCAAAGCTACATGCATCATATGTACATCAGAAGAAAGTTACAATAATTTCTAAAACAAAACAGAAATTCACATGTTTTTGTCTGCTAAAAGAGAACACAAATGATCATCCATGATCTGAGATAACTTCAATTCCACATAAATCTTGTTT